TTTTGGATTTACATTGCGTTTTGGATTTATTTGCATTTTTAGTATGTATTAAAAATTGCAGAAAATAGGTGCAATACAAGGGTTCCTGTTAGCGTGTTAATCTCAATTTCCAAAAGAGCATATGATATTTCTATGTGTTCTATTCATTTAGAGAACAAAGTTTGCCTGGTCTGTGACGATATGCGTTTCCTGATCGATCAAAAACTTCTGACGTCTCATCCGGACACGATGCTTGGTCGAATGTTTGCAATGCGTGATGCCAGAGGCGCTGGGGCCGAATTGGTCACTCCAAACGAAAGGGACGAATTTGTTGTGGGTGCTTCCTTCTTTCTTTCTTGAGGTCTTTAATTCTCTTACTTTGTTGTAACGTACTTGTAACTATCGGGTATAGGATTCATTCCAATGTAGCGCCACATTTGCCTCAATTCCGACCGTGGAAAGGTTTTCAGAATGCATCAATTTCAATGACTTCTCAAAATTTTCGTCTTTTCTTTTCGTTCTCCTTGTTTTTTGCGCACCTTTGAACACATGTTGTTTACACCTAGGCTGCTTTCTAGCATGAGTTCTTCGACTTTGAATTCCATATAATTCATATTTAATATCATTTCCGTAAAATAGTTTGAAAGAAGGAAGAAATCGTCAATATCTCGGATGATTGAGTCCAGTCTCAATTCCTAGGAACTTTTTTCGCCCTATCTCTGGTCGAATCATTTTTTGATTTTGTGTTCAGCCTCTAATTTCCTTTCAGGTCGCTGACGGCACAACTGCAGCATGTTTCCGAGTCGCTTTGGAGTACTATACCCATGGTCAGATGCGCTGCCCACCGAACATCTCAGTGGCAGAACTGCGCGACGCATGCGACTACCTCCTCATACCGTTCAATGCGAACACTGTGAAGTAAGCACTTTGAACGATTTTCTTTCTTTCTACTTTTCAACTTTATTCCTTTTCGTTCGGTCGAACACTTTTTGAGGTCTATTCCAGTTAGGGGGGGGGCATCATGATGCAGTTTCTCGGCGAACTAGTGTGAACTCGAACATTCCAGCTTTTCACGCATGTCAAGTGACTGCCCTCACCCCCACCCCCGTAGGCTGGCTACACTCCCCCTGGCTCGGAGTTACCCTAGCTTTCTGGAAAAACTGCATCATGATGCCCCCCCCTAAC